TAAAATGATAAATAAATCAACCTTGTACCTTGTACATTGACTCATTTATGCAGTCACAGTCCAATTAATAATTTCTTGACCATATACAACGAATGAAAGTAAAGATAACAATGTATCGTATTTCATACATTGTTGTGTACCTTAAAGGGACTATGTAACTTTTGAAATAAGAAATAACATATTAGTCATCTTACAAAATAAAATGAAATTCACAAACAATAAAACCCACCCCTGCTGAACACTCAGGGGTTAGGCATACAGTCGTACTTGGTCTTGACTAGTAGCTTACGCTGGCTAATGTTAGCTAATGTAAATAAATGGTTTGAGTCCTTGTACAGTTTTGAATTTTGGTGGTGGTACCTACCATTAAGTTTAACATTTGGATCTCAGATTGTATCCTTGAAGAAACTGATTGCAAAGGAAACTGGCATTTTCTGACTTCCTGTCAATGCACTCCAATAGAGAGCACTTTGTCTATATGTCATATTTTTAACACACAGCCCCAAGATTTGTTGCAGGGGCTTTAATATCTAATAAAACCGAATGCTTATCTCTATAAGATCTTCACCCAGGCACTTAACGTCCAATAGCTCCAAAGGACAATTACACATGCTGACAAAATCTCTCTCCAAAAAAAACTGCACCTCTCAATGAAAATATGAGAACCGTGCAAAACAGCAAAAACCTTCATTCTCCCAAACTAAGCTCTTTTCTGAAACTCTATCCAGCGGTTTAGCTCGGGATAGGCTCCAAGGCCCCGGGTCATTGAAATGATGGTGTTATGTAGTGAAGCGATTATCTGTTCTTAAAATCTGAGGGCTCTGGGGGTCATTTTAGGACTCCAAGACTAAAATCCCCCATAAGTGACATAATAGCCCACACTGATAGAGACACAACTGTCTGCTGTCCAGCATGACAGGAAAACATCTGTCAAGTTACAGTACGGTGTCTGCAGTTCCGCACACAGTTTACTGACTGAAGCCATTCAGTGTTTATCTCGATGAATCAACTTCTGCCAGCCGCCAAGCTTTGGTTAATATAGTTCAAATTCTACAGTCTTTCCAGGTTTCCCATGACTCCTTGAGCCCTCTAATCCTTTTTATATGTGACAGCTTGTCCAAACAAGATATAATAATTCCCTACTAAGCAGCTTGTAAGACTCTGATCAAACCTAAGGCAGTGCTTTGAGTACTGTACATCCTCACACAACCTTTTAGCATCAGCACACCTTTTTCTATTTCCTGTCATTTTCTCCTGGTTTTTCACATCCCTGCAGGCAAACTGTGACTTGGTGTTGTTCGTGTTCTTAGGCATTATAGGTGCATTTTGTGAGCATGATAATTATTATGATAGGCAAAATATGACAAATTCAGTCATTATTGTTTATTGTTTATTCAACATTAATCATAGCAAGTGCTTTTAGTTTGGTTGGGAGGGTTACTTTAAGTCTATAAGACAACAGAACAATGTGACTTTAGAAAATAAAATGGAAATGGAGAGATTATTAGCATCAGCAATGTGTCCTCTGCTCAGAGTATTTTTAAAGAAAAAAGTATGTATTTTAAAATTGTAATCCTGCTAAGTAATCCCAATTTTTTTACTAAATGTAAATGTAATCTGATTACATCTTTGTTTCTGTAACTGTAATGGATTACCTTTTCTGTATCCTGATTACATAACAACAGTTTTCATAGTCAATTAATCGTTTCAGTCATTTATCAAGCAAACATACCAAATATGTGCTGGTTCCAGGTTTCATGTCATTGTAAATTCAATATGAAGATTAGGCAAGCAATGTGAAGAAGTTGCTTGTGGCTCAGGCATTTGTCACTATTTAATGTCATTTTATAAACTTAACAACTAGTTAATTAATTGAAAGAAATCCCCCTTTGTGTGTTCAGATTTGGCCATGGTCGATCTCTCGGTGGACAAAACTGGCTGCCACTGAATGGGTTGAATGTTGGGGACACATTCCAGATATCTGCAAAATTCAAATGGCCTCACAATCTACTTGTACTGCATCATAGTTACGCTTAACTTAAGTCTCACTAACTTCTTCACGCACAATGGACAGCCCATTCAATTAGGAACAGATGATGTCTTTGAACGCAGCACGTCACACTCTGTATTGAGGCGTTGATTCTTGGCAATCATCCGTCCCTGGTGGCTTCTCCTATCTGCTCTGACACAGGCTCACAGCTGCCTCTCTGGGCTTTTCATTGGGGGGTGAAGAGGTTTTTTTTCTGATGGTTGCAGATCGTAATGAAGCCCACTAATCTCCATCATACTGTCTGTGAACTCATAATAGAGCCAACACATTAGACACGCTCCGGTTTCAATCACCACACCACTGAGACAGACGGCGTCTCAGCACAAGTCGTCTTTATCCTCGTGAAGAAGCACTGGACGACTGTCATTCATTAGTCTTTGAACCTTCTTCATGTGACTCTTTCTGCTCTGTTAGGAGAGCATCTGGCTCTGCACTCAGGCAATATGTGCATCCTATTAAGGTAATGATCCAAAACATAAAAAACCCAAAACATTTCTACTTTGCTATGTTATGTTACCAATGATATGACTGCCAGAGATACTGGAGCCATAATAACAATATAAACCCCCGTGGTAATACAAAGCACTCCGGATAATAGCAATCACAAATGGCATACAGAATCTAAATGGCATACACTCCTCAAGTTTACAAGAGGAAATTACATCACTGGTCAATGAAAAGCATGTCTTTCACCATGCTGACAGTGCAATTAAAGGAATCCTCTCAGTTTGGATAACACAAACTATTGCTTCACCAAAGTGCACCAACAGTCTTTATTCATGTGTAACTGGCACTAAAGGACAGCAAAGACAGCGTCCAGCATTCACCTCTTCTTTTTTTACTAATAAAGGCTAGAGGAACATTTCTAGAGTTTTGTTCCAAAGTGCTATCTAGACCCAGGAAACCCTTAAGTTTTGCAATTATTTCCTAACTGCACAGTCCAGATTTTGTTTTTACACCTAACAAAGTGTGAGACAGTCCAACAATAACACCCGCAGCGGTTGGACAGCTGTTTAGGGGTTTAAACTTCCCTCTCAAGCTCTCTTTTTTCCATTTTTCAAACATCTACTTCAGTCGATTGCCTTGTGTAGAACAAGAGCAACAGCACACATGCCTTCAAGGAAACACTGTTCATGTTCAAATTGCTTCAATTCCCAACTTCTATTGGTACCAAGTCTTTGAAAAGAGATCAGGGAGGCAGTGGGATGCAGGAGGAGGATGTAATGACCGCAGGCTTTTCACCCTGGAACGGGTACAAACACTTTCACCTTCTGATGTCAGACAAGGCATTGTACACCCTACTTTGTTTCAAACATGCTGAATCCTTAAAAGAGTAAATAACTACAACGAATATGGTTTGAATGTGGAAGGTAACAGAAAAGCAGTTGATCATTTTCATTTTTTAATCAATACTATCATACTGCAACTACAGCCGAATAAATAGATCAGAAGATGTTTTACATTTCTCTTTACCCAAGAGAAGTCTATCCACAGTGCAGCTTTATTTATATTTCGGCTCCTCTTAAGACTGATGTGGCAGCCCACTGATCTGCAGACCTTTAGAAAAGTGGATACCTACACTCCATCCCTGCCTCCCTCCATAAGGTCCAACTCCTCAGAGCCAGCACGGAGCATATATTTGAGGCTAAAAGATGTTACTTAGTGTTAGCAGCATACACACCCCAAGACCTAAGATCTAAGACGTGAGTGAGTGTATATATTGATTCAGTTACAAAATACAGTGTCCAGTGATTATTGGCCTGATATAAGTAAACTTTTCTAAAGGTGTATTATTCAAAAACTAATTCTAAACCATGCTGGCCTGTGACAGAGTCTGTATTTCTGGAAAAGTGTCTTATACAGTTTCTGAGAAAATCCATTTATGTGTAATGGTTGGCTGCTGGCTGAAAATAGGCAACCCATTTAGTAGACACTTTCCAGTGTGAATGGGTCAATTGTAATGCATATTAGCATGTGTCAATGGAGGGGGCTGCGTTCCATAGTTGCAGTTTCTTTCATGCACAGGCTGAAAACAAAGAGCGGCACAAAGGAGTCTGCCCTCATGAACAGGATGTTGTATGCAGCTCCATATCTCTATGCAAGGACACATGGAAGTGAAAATGCACACATGACTCTTCCATGTGCCTGGCTGTGCTGATGGCTGGCACAATACAGTTCTGCCAATATTGCAGGGAAATGAGTGTGAAAGCAGGCAGCAGCCATTTCTCCAGGATATGAGAAAGGTGCAGATTTTATTGAGATAACAGAAGAGGTCAAAAGTGATCATCCGAGATTAAAATATGACTGTAATATCTTATTTTGAAGGCTATGGTGGCCCTGTTTGGATTTTCTGCCCCTTGGATATTAGTCACCAGGCTCTAATATGCTGACTATCTATATTTAATATTCCCATATAAGGCCTAACAGTGTATCTGGTATTCAGTATTGAGTTGACCTTTTTTTTTTTTTTGTTGTTTTCATTGTTTGATGGTGCTCTTACGCTAATGCTCAAATTATTTGTCCTTTTGTGATTTTATTAGCTTTTATCTTTTGGTGAGTTAAGACAATTTCGGTGTTGTATTTCATTCTATTAGTTACATTATTTGATATTTAGAAACCACACAGCATCACAAGCATTCCTTATAATATTCCTGGTGTTTCCTTTTGTCTCTATAGTGGTATTCCTATAATTTGACTCGCAGGAGCCTCTCTCTCTCTCTCTCTCTCTCTCTCTCTCTCTCTCTGTGTGTGTGGCTCATGATATAGTTATTATGTTTTATGATATTCTTTGGTTGGATTATTCATCTTCTATTAAAAACGTATGCTACTCCATTTACTTTTTCTATTGTATTCCTCCTATAACCTGCACGCCATCCCAAAATCAATGGCGGGGTGACCGTAGAACTTTATCACTTTGATCACATGTCATGGTGAGGCTGATCATTTTTACCGTCGACGTTCTCCCTGTCGCTGATGTGCTGCAGGTTGCATCCCGTCTCCTCCCTGCTCAGCTCCGACTCTTGGTGGTACGACTCCAGCCTGGAGTGGGCATTTCTGCGGAGCTTGGGGCTGGCAGACACGCAGCAAGAGGTCGTGCTCCCCATCGTTCCCCTTTAGCGACCCCCAGGGGAAGGGGGGGAGGGTGTGGGCGATCCTTTCCGCCGAAACAGAGGCTTGAAACGACGGGTCTCCCGCTCCACCGAGGCGCGCCGGTCACCGTAGATCACCAGAGCGCATAGGGTGCATCCGTACCGCAGCGCCCCTGGATCCTGTCAGTCGTCGGTGTCCACGGAGAGACTGTCACAGAGGATGGATGTGTCACTTCCATCTGTATGTAACGGGCCGACCTGCCACAGCTAGGCCAGGCGTCGTGAAACTGGACGCATCCCGCTCCGGGCAGAGATGGGCGGCGATGGGCGCACAGAGGCGTGTGGGTCGGTGTTGTGGCTGGCTGTCAGGGCGATAGACCGATAGGGAGGGCTGCAAATCCCGAGAAAAGGTTCCGGTTCAAGTGGGTGGTTACAAAAGGGAGAGCAGAGAGGATAGAGGAGGAGCTGCTTTTATGATTTACTGCTGAAATAATTAGATGTACTTTTGTTTTTTAATGATGATAATAAGATATTGGTCCTACTCTCTGTGTTCTGTATGGATACATATATGTGTGGCATCATATATATATGTCAACTAAGTGAAAAAGCTATGGTGTTTACCTGTGTATGTGCTCATTTAGGGACTCAAATGGCCTCATAGAACGATAATAAAAATCCAACATGAGTATATTAAAGAGTACTGCTATCCTCAGGGCCTCTGTGAGACTCAGTGTTATGGTTAGAGACAGGGTTTTATAGATAATGTACTGTAAAAGGTGGTCAAAAAGGTGTGATAAACTGTTAAAGTGCTTCAAGAGATGCTGTAGAGGTGCAATAAATTTCATTGGTCAAAGGACAATAACCCCAAACAATAAATAAATAAATGACAGTCACATGTTTTTTTCCATTAAGTTATAAATTGTGGATATAAAAAATATAATATGTGGAGTGGATTTCCCTATTTTGGATTTTGATTATTTGGCTGCCACCTAGCTCATCTAGACAGCTGTATTATGGTGGTCCAAAGCTGCAATAGACAAACAGATTTAGGAAATAGTAAGAGGTCAGACTTTTGGGGTCAGAGTATAAACAGTGCTCACACAAGAGAATCCCATCAACTGTATTTCAGTTAAAGCCTTCAAGAAAATCCTATTGTTTGCATTACATTTCCATTGAATGTCTCTCTGAAGCACTGGGCCACACACTGTGTTCTGAAAATAACAAAATGTTAAAATGGTGACATCTGCTGGCCAACCCATGCATTTAGTGATTGAATATAATATGAACTCATGTCTGTTATTATTAATGTTCAGTCACTCAGTAAAGGTTGCATTATATAATTTGACCAATTAAACTGTTATGGCCCTCCTTTAAAATACTGTTGCATATATTAACGGGCGGCAGTAGCTCATTGTGTAGGGACTTGGCTTGGTTCAAGTCCCACAGACCACAAAATATGGAGTATGGACTGGTAGCTGGAGAGGTGCCAGTTGCACCTCCTGTGCACTGCCGAGGTGCCCTTGAGCAAGGCAACCTAACCCCAAGAAACTGCTCATGGGGCGCTGTAAACGTTGCAGCCCCATCACGCCACCATCTCTCTCCCTGTTGCATGTCCACAAGTGCATGAATGTGTGTATTTTAGCCTCTCTCTGTGTGTGTGTGTGTGTGTGTGTGTGTGTGTGTGTGTGTGTGTGTGTGTGTGTGTGTGTGTGTGTGTGTGTGTGTGTGTATAAAAAAGAAGAAAGAAAGAAAAAGGAATAATTTCCCCTAGTGGATCAATAAAGTATATCTTCTTAACAGGCAGATCCTATATTCAGAAAACTAGTGTCACATGTCCCCAGTGCATTTGTGATGTTAACCTCATAATAAAATATATTTTTACCAAAGCATACATGAAGCATGAATCTTGTGCACCTGCAGGATTACAAAGAATACCACCAGGTGGAAGAATGGACCAGCCATCCATTGCTAACAGCATAGTATCTTGTTTTAGAACGTCTATAATTAAACATGGTGACACCTAAGGATGGTGCAACAAGCTCTGTAAGTTTCTCTTAAAAACTTTTCTTCATCCATTCAGTCTGAAACGGACCTTACTTATCATCCTAAAATACTGCCAATTTTGGCTTAGCTGCATCTCGTAGATGCACAGTGATAAATATGAGGATGCATACAACCAAGGGGGTAGCCATTAAAGCCATGCACACACACACTTGTGAGCAAGTATATCAGCACTCTAAAGTGGTTCAGTTTGCCTCAGACAAACTGGGTTGTATGACGTAGTTCAACATACAATGTGCCATCTTATGAGGGTAAAAGAGTGTATACTGTACTCACACTTGAAGGTGGGGTGTAGTCATAGCCTTCCTGAATTCTGTGAGTTTTGCATGTCTGTATAGTCCCAAAGAATCGTGCAAACTGGCACCATGGTGCACACTTTTAGACAGCCTCTCCTGTGAGGTGGTTATGGTGTTGCACTTGGTTGCGCACACAAAAGAAGTAGGAGAGAGCTTGAGAGAAGTTCAAACCCTGCCTTCATTTTACATCTGGGCACACCTGGCCAATCAGAAATAAAGTATGAGTGAATATCAAGGTGTATTGTTGTTGGATGCAGCCCATCGATTCAGCCAGTGGAAAGGGGGTTTGAAACATTGTGAGGCAATTAGGTGGTGTATATATAGTGGTTATGTGATTTCTGCATGTTGAAGTGAGACATCAATACATCTTTTAGCAATACTTTCAGCTTTGAACGTTGTCTGCTTGAGGTGTTAGTGGAATGTTCAGCCTATTATTGTGCATGAAGAGCAACCAAAACTGAAACTATGACGTAAATATTTTTTAGTATATTTTTAGTTTTTTGTCAATAAAAAGTAAAAAAAATACATGTAAGTTATTGTTTAGTTTCTTTAGATAAACTCAACTGCCTGTTGCAGTAGCCTGTGTTGGACAGCAGAGGTCCTCCTAGACTGCCACAGTGGAGCACAGTTGATGTTGTCAAGGTAGTAGGCTTCATCCCACAGCTTGTAGGCAGTTAGTCTCTAGGTGGAAATTTCCACTCCAGCCACACTGGACCAAAGGCCATGAAGATGTTTGAAAAGCAACAAAATGAAATATTAAAGAGCCTCCCACACTCTAACTTTTCAGTTCTGGTTTTAGCTTAAGCAGCAGGGAAAGATGGTTGAATGCAGTGAATTTAGAGGTTGGAAAAATACGTTTTGAAAAATAAATTGTGCACCCTTGAACCGCAATTGTCTTCATACTGACTAATCCATAACACAGAGCGAAATGATCCCAGCTGACTGGTACTTCACTCACACCTACAAGTCAAACAGTGCACAAAATATTGAATTAAACCATTTCAAATGTTGGTTGAAGCTAGAAATGTATGTAACATTTCAAAAGAACCATAATGTAAAAGAGTGTGTTCAGTGTTAATGGCAGTTTCAAGGTTTCCCTCAGAGGCATTTCTCTCCCTTTCAACTACCTATTCACCACTGCCTGTGTGTGTGTGTGTGTGTGTGTGTGTGTGTGTGTGTGTGTGTGTGTGTGTGTGTGTGTGTGTGTGTGTGTGTGTGTGTGTGTGTGCAGAGAGGAGAGAGAGTTGTATTTATGCAGTGAGTGTCTGTAAGAGATAGAGAGAAGCCAAATTCCTGTTTCTATGGGTGTGTTGTCATTTTGAGAGAGAAATGTGTGTGTGTGTGTGTGTGTGTGTGTGTGTGTGTGTGTCTGTGTGTGTGTCAGCATGATAAGTTTTATTAAAGAGGGTTTATGTGCATGTATGAGAGGGAAAGGTACATCTAATAATGTACTGCTTATCAACCACTTCAGGGTCAATGTTATACCATCAGGGGTTGCTATGGAAACTCATTTTCATGTTCGTCCCCCTTTCAAAAACGAATATCATTTTACTGGTTCCTAAAATCTTAGTACGCTTAAAAACAACCTTCCAGTTTCAGTTCATTTTCACTTGTTTTGTTGCTTTTTAAAACATTTTTATTTGCAAGTTTGACCAAAATCATTTTTATTTGTAAAATACTTGCAAAGCTGATGTTCTGGGTGCTTATGAACACATCGTAGGAACTTGTAACATGAAAACTATTATTCAGTGAGATATGAAGCAGACAAAGACATTTATTACTTACCACAAGGGAGCCAGTATTGTTAGCGGAGTAAAAGAAAACCCAAGGTTTGAGTGTCTTTTTACTTGGACGTTACATAACCTGTGACCTTTAGGGACTTGAAGAAACTTAAACAACACTCCTGATAAACAAGTTACGGACAAACCACCCCTCGCATCACCTGGAGCTACGTCTTTTGCATGAATACAAATAAAATACAAAGTAGCCACACTTTGACAAAGGAGAGGATTAAATATCAACAGTTTGGTGCTCATAGAACTTTCCTTTGTCACTGACCTTTTAAAAAACTTCATGTAGATCTGAGATATTTTACTTTGAAGGCCAGGAACTTGATCAGGTGGCCTATTAATTACTGTATCTGTGTTATCAAAGAACTCTGTCCTTTTTCTTCATGTTCATTCCCCTCAAGCTATCTGAGATAGTAACAGTCTTTAAGTACCTGTTGTTACCTGTAACATTTAACTGTACCTCCATGAAAAGCTGGCTAGAGTCCTGAAGAGGAGGAGGTTCTGTGAGAATTGGGTGAGCAATAACTCACAAACCATATCACATTTGAATATTTTATTAGATAAACAAAAATAGTTTTGGTTTTACAATTCAAACAAGGAAGTACATTGGGAGGAGAACACCTGGTAGAAGACGGAGCCATTTGAATTGGCAATAACCGACGTGCAGAGAAATTCAGCTCAGTTGATATCAAAGAAAACCTGAAGTTTATTCTCACCTGCCTTTTCATAGAACTGAACAGAAGCATTCCTCTGTGGATACAAACCATTACGGGTGATTTGGTTAATACACAACAAGACTGCCACAGGATAATTCATGTTGTCACTGAGCTAAACAGTAGTTCAATACCCAACTGTTACTTAAAGAGCTTTGGCAGTCATAGGAGGTGGGCTGTTACATTAACAAGTGCTCTTTCTAACATTTTCTCCGAACAATAAAATATAATTCAGTGGAACAAACGCAACAACTACACAGAAAACAGAAAAAGCAAGCAGTTTTTCAAAATCACCAGACACATTAAACACAAGATGATATATTAGCATTAAAATCAAAATTTCATTACACTAAAAAAAAAAAAAAAAAAAAAAAGAGAAAAGAAATTGGCATCACCCTTTAAACAGAGCATTTTAATATCTAGCCATAATCAAATACAGTTTTATACCACAATGGATATCCATCACTGGAAAAACAAAACTGACGCTTGCATGACAGTAAAGCACAACAGTTATCCTTTGAGCTACGAGTCATCTTAAGATGTTGCATTACAAAACTGTAGGTTTTTCAGGACAGAGTAAACAACTGCATTTTTTGAACAAGTAGTCAATTGGTTACATTTGCTTTGTAGAATGTATATAAACTTGTGAAGTGAAATTCTGCAAATAAA